CTATACAGTAAAAATCAATCAAATACAAACTTAAATTTATGAAGGTGCTGGAGATTTATGGGGGATTAACCCCTTGTACCCATACCAAGGACTCTTCCCTGGAACTCTCCATTAGTTCTCATATTCACACCCCCTCTTTCTTACCGGGCTGGATCCTCCCCTGCATACTGCACACATTTCCTTAGCAGTAAACAATAAACAGGCTTTGTGGTACTGAACCAATGAGATTCAGTCATAGGAAAGGTCAACGAACTCATCAGGCATAGTGTTTCACCATTGGTAAACAAGAAGATACTCTGTGGTATTAACAAGATGCGTACTTTCGCAGGAAAATAATGGACCTTTGTGGAATGTCAGTGAAACTTAACAACCGACTAATCAAAGCATGCCAGGAATTATGCACATGTGTTATGGATGTGGTAATGGGCAAACATTTAATTTAATTTTTTTTTGGAAATCGTTATCACCAGATGGTGTGTTGCAAAACAACATGTAACCAAGTCGTTTATTAATCAGATATGTTGATGCTATCATCACATTCGCTATTAAAACAATCAGAAAGATTTAATTGACACAACACTTTAGCTTTTAAGCACACAGTGCAAAATCCCTCCCTGTGTTTATATTTATTCAGATGACAAGTGGAGCTCAACTCATTATCTCATTTCACTGAATGATTAATATTCTACAATAAGCTCGGTTCACACTAGCACGCATCAGAGATAACCGCAGTTGGCTTGACACAACCTCAAGTGCCTGGACATAAAAACTCAAGCTGCGGTATTCAGATTTTTATAATGAAAATCAGCTGTGCTGTAGGTGTGGTGCATGTGCTATTTGCATTATTACATTCAAATTGCAAGTGTAGACCAAAAATTGTGTGCCAAATTTGTAAAATGTTTTATATATTTAGCTGCGGTATTCAGATTTTTATACTGAAAATCAGGTTTCTCATAGGTGTAGTATGGTGTTTGCTTCATCACATCCATTGCTCTAGTGTAGACAAAGTATTATGTACCAAATTTGTAAAATGTTTTATATATTTAGATGCTGGATGATAAAATAGCTTAATGAAAGTGTCCTCTTTAATACTGTATATGAATTCACAAATGATGAAAACTTCTGCACTTTCTTATATCCTGCTTTAATCTCAAAGGTCTATATTAACTTGTTTTGTATAGTAGTATACAGTAAATCCCATAAGTAAGTTTTAAGACAATATTTATACAGGAGTCCCAAGTTGGAGGAAGTTCTTATAAGCTTTGTTAACATATCTAATTTTATTTTGCTGAATGTGGTGATATCCATCTGCACTGATTTCTTAGACTGTTGATAATAAAGTAGTAAAAGTAGCTGTTCCCACAAATTATTTCTTGCTTACAGTACATCTTGACAACTAACTCATCATCTCTCAAACATATATTTAACTAGCCTTAAGCAGGGGCGGATCCACAGTTGTTCAAAATGGGGGGGGGGGGGGGGGGGCAGGAGGGGGGCCTGCTAAGTCATACCTCCATGGTCAGTTGTAAGCCATTCATCCTCTTTCTTGGTTTATCGCCTTTTCTCAGAAACTACACATACCTAACTGTCATAATCTTCAGTCACAATTAATAACTACAAGGATTTAAGAACTACAAAACTTTATCAAACACACAAACCTTCACTTACTGGACATTGACCCTGCATCGATGAATCCAACTCCACTTGATGTGAGCGGTAGACAATGCTACGCTTTCTGATTATTGTCATTATTATTATTTTTATTCAACATATTTATTCAGGATACATATTCAATAAAAGAGAATGTACAATTGTAAAACTGACAGAGCATACTTTAAAAATTGATCTACAATATGGTCCTGATTAAAACACCAATTAGATATTATTATAAATAATTAAAACAAGATAATGAAGATAATACTTAATATTACACTAAAATACCAACATGGAAAGTAATTCATTTTAAAAATGTCTAAAAGTGTGTTTTGAAATTTGATTAAAATTTTAAAATGTATTGTTGGTGGCTCTCTGAACAGATTGTTATTAAAAAAACAATCCGTTGCGTGCGTGTTGTGTTTTCCATAGAATCGCGTCAGCAGTAAGTGCCTGGTGTATGATGAAACAGCGGCGGCGCCAGAAATTTGCCAACAAGGGGTCCGACGTGTCCGACGGATGGTCCGAAACAAGGCAACAACGAAGCCCTTGTTTGACGTCCCGGAATAAAAAAATCCCTGTTCATGGGGAGAGTTTTTATGGCTTAACATCCTAAATGTGCTTTTACAGTTTTTAGACCACAATATTAAGGATTGGCAATCAAAATAGCATTATTTGGATAGGCAAATTATTATTTTTTTTAATCTTTGGTCCGACGACCTAGTCGTTCTTTGGACGACGGGGGTCCAGGCCTCTCCGACGGGTACCTACCCTTCCCCTTCCTTAATACCTGTCTCTTATACACATCTAGATGTGTATAAGAGACGATGAAATCACAGTAGTAACTGAAGGCATTTTAATACTGTATTCTGTTATCTTTTTATTGTTTTGGTATAATCATGAGGGAGTGCTCCCCTTCATTTTCTTCTTGTTGTTTATTTTTTGTTATCATATTATAACATGAGTTGGGTATTAAGCCTAATTGGATTTAAGCTTGACAGTTTGAAACCAATGCTGGGTTCAAATTGCCCCTCAGCACTGACATCAATTGCTGTAGAAAGGGCCTTCCAAGTTGTTGTAAATACCAGGCTCGACAACAAGCTTTTTGCTGTTGAGTCACATTACGAAAGGTCCACTGATTGAGATGAACTCAGATGAGATAGTATAATACAGTACAGTACTCCAAGTGTCGAAATGCACACCATCGTGTTGGGATTCAATATTTTGACATTAATTATGTCATCATCAGGAATGTCACATTACCGAGCAATAGATTAACATTTATAGAATAGGCCTATTCTTAAAAGAATTTACGAAGCTTGTTGCTGTGGAAGAATAAATTGCTGTAGTAAATCCATAGCCCATAACCACTATTTGCTACACTGAATTGATATTTGCTATATTTTGGTTATGCTAATTAGTTATTTTTTAAACAATTTTTATATCCTCATTATTATTTAAAATTGTGTCCTAGTCTCAAATTAAATTTACTCTATTTGATCCGTGTGGTTGTAATAAATTATTAAATCACGATGTGCGTAAGTGTGACATCATCAAGGGGCTTGGTAATTAGAAAACTGGCGTCACTTTCCAAATAGAATATCTTGCAGTAGCCTTGAAACCTTGACCATTTGAAAATTGTATCTAATTGCAATTTATAATTAAAGTAGTAAATTTTCAATATATGTATACCTTTGTCATTTTTATTTTTTACAATATACTTTAAGTGTGCACCATCTTATTTATCATCTAAATTTAAATTTAATATCGAATCCTATTCAAAATGTACACGTAGTCAATCTCATAATAACCTTTTTGTGCCACAATGGAATAACTGTCAAGGCAAGAGAACTTTTTTGTATCGTTCAACAAAGTTGTGGAATGAACTTCCACACGAAACAACAACAAATTTGATGAACATGTCTATTATATTTTTTAAAAACTCTTTTAATTCTTAATCACTTTTATTATGATATCTATTTATATATATGTATGTTTTTTAATTACTTTTCTTTTAACTTTTGTATTTTATGAAACTGTACCACTTTGAAAAACAGTACACAAGTACTGAAAGTGCATTCAGTAGAAAGACAGAATAAATAAATAAATAAATATATAATTTTATTAAAGCTTTCTTTAAAAGTGGGGAGTGGGGAAAAGTGTAAAAGGGCAGTTATGCGGTTTTTCCTCCGGAGCCCGACTTTAATCAGGTTGTAACCATTCAGTGACCAGCATTGCTTTCCCAGGAAGCCCTGGTACAAATATAACAAAAATATACAAGACTATATTTACAAATGTACAATAGTAACTGAAATGTAAATTAAAAACAATGATAAAGTAGACTAGAACTATTGAAATGAGAAAAATGATAACTTGAAAACCTGAAAATACTAATTACAAGTTAAACTATACTAAGGGAAAGGTATTGCTGAATGCCAAAATAATACACCTAATAATATAAGCTTGTTTTTAAGTGAATGTAATTTTGTATGATGAAGAAAAGCACACCTTTTTTAATTTAGGCTGCATTAAATTTTACTGTAACAAAGGTACTGATATCAAAATTTATATTAATATTTTCATTATTATTACCAGTACGTGAACTACTACCCACACATTCAACAGAGACAATTATAAGATCCATCTCTTATGAATTCAACCCATCTAAGATTTCAATTTATGAATCATCAGGAATAGTGATCAATCACCTTCTTATCATTGTCCATCAGAATGGATCATAATAAAATAATAAACCATTCTATATTTATGTAAATTGTGAAAACTAAAGATAGTTTAATAATTGATATTCTAGTGAATTTATATTATGAGCCTTATGGAAAATTAATCAATCATTAATACCTTAAGCTTTGGCCACACTATCAAATTTTCTTCGACAAAAAAACTTGTATGCCCATATATAGTCATGATGTGCCTATATATGGTCATGATGTGATGTCATCAAAACAATATGTAGGCATGTCACATGGTTTTTGTCAAATAAAATTTGATAGTCAGGACAGAGCTTTAAATCCTATCCAGACTATCAAATTTTATTTGATAGTCTGAACAGGGCTTTAAATCCTATCCAGACTCAAATTTTATTTGATAGTCTGAACAGGGCTTTAAATCTTATCCAGACTATCAAATTTTATTTGATAGTTTAAACAGGGCTTTAAATCCTATCCAGACTATCAAATTTTATTTGATAGTCTGAACAGGACTTTAAATGTAGAGATAAATTAAGGACATGGAGAGTGGAGTAATATTCCAGATGTATTCTAATTATTCTTTAAGTGAAAAATTGATTTTTAATTTTTGTCTAAATTTCAAACAAACTTTTTTTGCAGCAGAGCTTGACTGGGTGATGCCTAACACTATCGTGTAAAAAAAAAGATAAGAAATGTATAAATTTATATTTCTTACCTTCTATTGTGTCGCTATGACGATGAGCATGGCATTGGAAAGGTGCAGAAATGACAGGCCTAACAAAGGTAATATGTTTTTTTTTGTAATCCGTTGTAATATTAAAATTTCTATCAATTTTTCATTAGATTATTATATTATTAATGTCATCCTTATTAGATATTTCGTTGAGGTTGAAATCGTTAAAAAGAAAAATAACCATTAAATAACACACACTTAAAAGGCTTAAATAAAGCCAAAAAAAAAAAAAGTGTTTGTGTTGGTCACGTTTTGGGAAAATAAAAAAAATGGGTAGGTCGGTAGGAAAACTTTTTTTTCTAAAGTGTTTACGCTTAAAAAGTATAAAATACACAAATAATAAAACAATTTTGGATTCACATCGCGTACCATCCAGCATAATAGGCTAGGCCTTGGCCCCTTAGCTTGGCCAAGGCTATTCCAGCCTTATTGGGTCATACAAAAATATTGTTCATTGTAGTCAAAAAAGAAAAAAAAAGAAAAAAAAAAGAAAACCTAAAATGCCAACCTTGAATTTCATAAAATTTGGGTTGGATGTGGCCAACACAACAATTTTTTTTTATTTGGCCTAAGTTGTTCATCTTTCAATTAGACCCCAACCAGATTTTGTTTTCACATCTTCTACAAAGAATTCAATTCATATAAAGTTTTATTGTTATTAGTACACTACAACACAATTAGGAACTGCCATAAAGGCAGATCCAATAAAGATGGGAGTATGTTGCATTATGAAAACCACTTAAAATTATTAATTTCAATTTGCTCTTTTAGTCGACAGCAGTTCTCCCATTCCCCAAAGTTTACAAGCCATGGTGATGGAAAATGGGGCAATTAAACTGTCGTGGCAACTACCAAATATTGGCAGTTATAACTTACGATGCCTAAAAATATACTATCGCAAAATGTCTGGTAAGTGTTTTTCAGAAGTGATATCGAGATTAGTGTAGCATGGAGATTTATCATACTGTAATTTAGAAGTGATTTTGTAGGCTTAAGGGTGGAGGTGCAACTCCTATTCTGAACACTTGTTTGTGTCCTTAATCAAGGGATTTTGTATTGTGTGTGGGTGTATGTGTCTCAATCTAGGAATATTAGTAGGTTCATAGAAGTTTCAAATGATTATTACAAACTCCAAAATTGTGAAATATTTCTTGAGGTTTTAGGATATGCTCTGATATTGCTATCTGTTGATATTCCCATATGTATTACATTACTTAGGCGAGACATTTTTTATACCTTGTTTTGCAAACTTAATCATATAAAGACCGTCAGAGGAGGGTGTGGAAAAAAAAATATATATATATAAATTAATTTTCTCACTGAGCAAAATGATTTTGCCAAAATCATCAAGTTGGAAGAGAAAATAAAAACATCTTATAATATTGAATGTACTGTAGTACACTAATGAATGCTTTACATTTTCAGGTAGTGGAGGTTAGAAATTCAAAAATTGAGTTTATATTATATTTTGATAGATCACATTATAAGCTTTCATTTGGTCTTTGAATGGCTTCCCTACTATAAGTAAATCCAGAGATGTGAGCATTTAAAGTTTAGGTGTATAAGAACCACGTTTTGAGAAAATCGGCCTCAAAGATAAACTAACCTGTACAAAATAATATGACTAGGATTACAGGATATATGCAGAGAACACTGTTTTGGCAAGAAAATTCACTTACAAAGTATACAATCATAAAATATAAGTATCAAGTTATTCAAAAACATTAAAATCAAAATTTTGTAAAAATGTTGACTTTGGCCTGTTTTGGTGAATATCTCAATATGATTTCACCAACGATGCGTCTCATTTCATGGTGAAACCTCACATATATAGTTGTATTTTTGTTATGAAATTTTCATTTTTTGGTGGCAGAGGGTGCGCAAACTTGCCAAAAATAAAACTTACACAAGGTATAAAAAAAGTCTTGTCTTAGGGCCTGTTTGAGCGAAAAAATATCTGTGCAATTTACCAGTTAATTCACCGGTACACACTTTCTAAAACTGCTCGGACACTAGTCTAATTACCTTACCATCTGGATTATTCGCGACAATTTTGACCACCAAATTGCTGGGTAGAGTGCATGGAATGACCCTGGAGCCGGAGGCGATGATAAATCAACCCTAATTGTTTTTCAAAATGTTTTGTCCACAGCCCAGCGCAAAATTCAATAGGTTACGGCCCTGGCGTGGTTGCAGCTCTCCTTCGCCTCCTCACACAATGCACGACGAAATCTAAATTTGGTAGCGTAGCTACGCGTTCGATTTGTAGATTTGCCATTATTTGGAGAAATAAACTTGAATAAACTAGCCTACGTTTTTAAAGCAGCCATTATAAGTTATTTGAGCTACATTATCGTTCCACCGTGCCGCGCTGTGTGTACGTGGGCCGGTTAATAGCAGCAGTAGCAAGTAAACAAAGAATGGGTTGTTGACCATGGGATAAGTTGAAATTTACTTCCGGAGTAGTTTCGTTACACATATTTACCGTGAACTAAAACTTCCTCGAATGGTCGACCACCCGCTGAGTGCTTAGCGCGATTACCCGGTGAAATAAACGGAATACGGTTGGCGTTTTTTGCTCGAACGGGCCCTTAGAAGTAAATAGTGAAACTAATAATTACCAGTATAAAGGTGAACAACCTCTAAGTGGTTACTTAATTGAGATGCACACCAAGAGAACGAAGTCTCTATTCTGCATTCCAGCATGATAATGATACCCAAATGACTTATGAATGTCGACTTATATATGATGTACCAATCGGTATAATAAAGTATATATAACAAATTATGAAAATGCGGGGCGGGGGTGCAGACGGTACGATTGCACCCCCATAAATTGTATTAAGAAAATAATTGTTGTATTGTATTGTTAAGATGAATAATCAGTAATATTTTTAAGGTAATGAGAGTGCAATTTCTGGGCACCTAGAGGTCTATATTCTCAAAATATTTTCGCCTCAGCCCCAACCGTGGTGGGCCTGAGGTGATGTGGACTCGCATGCACCCATATCGCCAAATCTCGCATCCGCCCCAGCATTTGTCCTAATGACTGCAACGTAATAATTGAAGAATACTTGATAGTCTAATATTCAAGAATTAATAGTATTTTTTATTATTTGACTGAAATATTATTATTAAGTTAATTTAGGTTATTTATGCTTTACCATTTCAAATTTCAGAGAATTATTGTTCCAAAGGTACTATTCGTATTGGTCATAGTTGGACCTTGAAGAATTTAATACCTAATACTGAATATGTCTTCTACATTCGATGTGAAACAGACATAGGCATGAGCCATGCCTCAGACATATTAATATTCACAACACCAGTTGGCTGTAAGTTTTTATAGAGTATGGCTTTTATAGGGATGGGAGGGTAACTTGGTTCTTGTTGTGTTTATTGTTGTGGAGTACCTTGTCGTTAATTCAATTCAATTCAATTTAATATTTATTTGCTACAAAAGCCATCAATGGGCTATTATCCACCATACAAAAAACATAACACAATCGATTATCAACATTTATTATAGCCAAACAGAGCAAATATGTTGAAATAGTTTCCAACTTGCTACTTATATAAGGACCTACATGCAGAATGTTTGGGAGTTGACTAATACTGTTGGTAGGGTAAATTAACCTTCTATAATATATATATATATATATATATATAGTTAACAAAATGTTATCATATGCGCTATTACTTATACTTATAAATATTAATTAGGTAATAATAACCACATTTCATTGGTCAATTCCACTTAGTGTGTGGTACAATATTTTTGATGGTACCTCCCTGCACATACATATTTATGCAGACTATTGACTATCGCATGCATGGCAACGTAAACCATATGTGAACTGTGTAATTTTACCGTTAACATAGCTCGAAATTACTAATATAGATAGATAGATAGACAGACACATAGACAAACACCGACAGACAGGCAACATAGCTCGAAATTACTAATATAGATAGATAGATAGACAGACACATAGACAAACACCGACAGACAGGCAAACACACCGACAGACAGACAGACACATAGATAAAATTAGAGACGTATTGTAAAACAAATAAAGCATGGAATTAGCAGCGAATTCTACTTTCTTCAGTGTTGGATGATTGTGACTAACTCTCTCCACTAGTTCCAATCATACAACACCTTGGAGAGTTGAACTTTCTACTTCACTGTCAGGTCCGTAACCAGGGTGGGATCGGATGAACAACGTTGAACATATATTTCCTCCTATTTGTTTATGTGTTAAGGTACTGTTTTATTGGTATCATAATGTTTAAAAAAATATTTTTTTAAGGAAAAAATTACCAATAAAAATTTCTTCTGCTCTAGCACCACAAGAAAAATTGTACGATAAAGATATCTATTCGACCGCTGGTGAAAGAACCTCGTTATTGTGTCCTATCTCCGGCAACAAGTTATCTTATAAATGGTTTAAGAATGGAAGCCTTATAGGAGTTGGTAATGACCTGACCTTTCAGAGTATTTCCACGTATGACAGCGGGATATATACCTGTGAGGTCGACAGTGAAATGTACCAATATTCAAAACGACTCCAGTTGAATCTTCATGTTGAAGGTATGATAAGGGAATGTTATACGACAGTGGCGGATTCCCCTACCCCTAAATTTTTCAGATATATGTATAAAAAAAATAGAGAAAAATTTTATTCAAATTTAAGTCTGAGAGTGCCATTTCTGTCAATCATAGATTTTCTTACCCCATCCCCTTCAAATATTCTTTCTTCTGGGGCCTTCTCTCCCCTGGCCCTGTTACATTATTCCTACTGGGGATTCTGAGGTACTTCAAGCCCTAGCATTACTTTACTTTTACTATTGTAGTTGCATTTTTTTGTATTATATAATGTTATTTTCTCCAATTTTACATCATATGAACTACACTGATGTTTTCCCCCTCAAGGATGTAATTCAACAAAAAGTAGGCCTTTATCAAGATCTCCTTCATTGATACCAACGATGGATTTTCATGGCAACCAGATTTCTAGAGTAGTCTACCTAATCCAGAGAAAATTCTCCAATATTACATTTATATGTGCTGTGAAAGAGCCTAATGTGGAGACGTTTGTTCGTTGGTATAGGAATGGTTTTATGATGCAAAAAGGACATTATTTTGAAAATACGGTAACAATTTAATATTTCTCTAATTTATTCTCATCAAATACTTTTGTGATAAGATTTAGTGAATGATGTTACACATAAGGATATTTAAATAGCAATTTAATAAAAGTTATTTATTTATATATATATATACACACATATATATACACATATATATATTTGCTCTGGTTTTATTACCATTGAGCACTCTGCTGGTGATATCTCCAACATGTTCAGTTATATGTTTTATAACTTCATTTGTTTCCTTATATATATATATATATACTTAGATGCATTTATGTAATGATTTATTTGTTTAAATAATGCTACATGAGGATGGGCCGTCAAACTGATTATTTAAGTTCATCAACCATTATAAGACAACATTAAAGACAATTTAAATAAGACTTAAAGTAATGGTAATAATTGGATTACTACTATCCAGTATATAAGCACATAGATTTTGGTATTATATGGTTATTCACTTGCATGACTTTTACTGACTAAAGTTGAAAGTTAAAAAAAAAGAATTATGGTGTTTGACAAATATCATCTAATTTTATGCACTGTAAGTCAGAACAGTGCTTTATTTGATTTATTATTTATAATTGAGTTTTTTTTCTCCTGAATTTTCAGTTTTATGCCTTCAAGTTAACAATGACAAATTTAGAGTCTTCAGGTTCCGCCAAGTATTCCTGCCTTGTTTATAATTGCCATGGTTACACAAAACGAGATTTCCATCTAAGAGTTGGTGAGTGCTATGATTATTAGACCTAAATCTATTCAGTGTAGCTATAATAATAATAATAATAATAATAATAATAACAACTTTGTTTCAAACAGAAAAATTGTGTTTTTCACATGGCCGTTTTGACATAAATACAAGTACATACAAATTTATATAACAAAGAAAAATACAAAGTCACTGAATTAACTTATTACGTGTTATAAAATGATATAATAAATGAAATTAAAGTACACAAAATTACATTTTAGAGCTCTATCCACACTATTAAATTTTCATTGACAAAAAAAAATTGTTGTATACCCATATATAGTCATGATGTGCCTATATATGGTCATGATGTGATGTCATCATGACCATATTTAGGCATATGTTTTTGTCAAATATAGTTTGATAGTCTGGACAGGGCTTAACACCTTGTAATTCAAATTATGATTGTGACCCACATTTGGGTAGCAAAGAAAATTGGGTCGCCAACTTTTTCAGGTAAAAAAAAAAAATTAAAATATAGACTTTGGAAAACAGTACAGTTGTTGACTTCATTTTTGGTCTTTAGTATAGCAGATTCAATGGCGGAATTGAGCGCATTGTACTACATGCCATCACAGCCGATGGACAATGGACAATAATTTTAACCACCACATGTTTTGGTTGTTTCAGTTGATTTCATTAAAATCCGAGGCAAAATGCCTCAGAAAGCACTGCAAGGGAAATCTGTGACATTATATAGCTCTATTGGAACAGAATCAGGAATCCAACTTTGGTTGAAGTGGACTTTTTCAAATATTACAGCAACTATCCAGGTACTGAGTGTTACTTTCATTCATTCATTCATTCATTCATTTCATTCTTTACATACTATTTTTAAAAAATACCTGAATTTATTTTTACATTTATATTATATTTCTTTATACTTAATGTATTTATCATTTCACTTTCAGGAGGAATATTTACTAAGAATATGGGTGAGTTTTTGTAGTTTTTAAAATATTAAATTCAACATGATATAATATATATAATCTCTAAAATTATTGAATTTGCAGGTCACAATCAAGTATATGAATATCTGTCTAATAATAACATTCTAAACCCATCCCAATCTGGTTTCAGAAAAAAACATTCAACAAACACAACCCTCGTAGATGTCTGAGATTACAATCTTAAAAATCATAACAATGGAAAAGCAACAGCTGCCATATTTTTAGATTTAAAAAAAGCATTCGATACAGTAAATCATACGCTGCTTCTTGATAAATTAAGGGAGATTGGAATCAGTGGTAAATTCAACATGATTGCATTTCATTTTATGTTTTTTTCTCTTGATTATTATAACTATTATTTGTATAGATGTAAGAACTATAAATGTATTTTTTTTTTTGTATTGTCAGATGAACGATTGATCGATAACAATTATAGTTAAGTAAAATGGTATTAATAGCAAGGTTTTTTTCTTCTCTTTTTCAGTCCCTACTTTTAAATGTTTCTTGTGAGGAAGCAGTGGCAGGGCTACAAGTGAATCCTTCTCCATTGGGGTGTCTTCAAGTATGTAAAAATATTAAAGTGACTTCATTCTTTACCTAATGAGGTGACCCTCATTCATTCTTTATTTAGCCAAAAGAAATATACAAAACAATTATCAAACAATAAAGACAATTAAATTACCTAAGTTGGCTTGAATTAACAATGGTGTTATGGCAACCTGACACTTGATTTTCGTTCCTGCACTGGCGCGCACTTTGGCGTGCCAATGATGAAAGTCTTTGGGAACAAGCGTGAGGAGTATGTGAAGGGTGCGCACCGTGTCATAGATAGAATTTAAAAGTGTTCAAAAAATCGGCATGTATCAATGCTCGTGCCATACGCTTGAACCATACCTGAACACTGCGAGAACTCTGCGCGAACACTGTCGACGGTACGTGCAGTTAAGAATGCTCTTCCTCTTTCTACGTTTTCTCCTGCTCTTCAAGAAGTAATAGTTCGCAGTTGCTAGATATAAACACTTTCTCTGTTCTGCAATAACACTGTTTCTGGGATTCAGCATGTTGAATCGTCCATAGAGATTTGAAGAAAAACCCACGCTATATGAAAAGCGTGCTGCCAAGCGGGACAAAGCCTAACTAAACATTGCCACGACGAATTACGCATGCGCGAATTCGTCGGGGCAATGTGAGAAGACAGCAGGAATTATGCATGTTGTATGACACTGCGGGACAATGCGGTATGGTAGACGTGAGCAATGCGCGAACAATACTTAACCTATGCGTCAACAAGTAGTGCCATTGCGTGTCAATATGGTACATTTTTGACACGCATTGTGCGTAACTTATGAGTGTACAGTGCACGAACAGGCCACGAAACATGGGTTCACGCTCTGCAGCGTACCACCGAATGGCACGTCTTGCCTTGACGCATTGTGGGGACAAAAATCTTGCAAGTGTCAGGGTGGCTTTAGTCTAACAGTAATGTTGACTTAAAGGGTCCCTCCACAAAAATAAAAATATACAATCGTTATTTAAATTTAGCATGAAGAGTGAAGTTCAATAAAATTTTCAAGATACACACTGGACATATAAAACATTCTTCTTCAAACAGTGTATTGTAACAGGATATATTTAGAATACTGTATAATACTGTACTATTTAAGGTTAAATTCAAGACAACTGAATGGATTTTAAAATTGTGAGACAACCAAAAATCCATTCCCCAATTTAAAATACAAAAAAAAAAAATTATTATTAATTATGATGCAATTATATAATAACAATGCCGATAATAAGTGTAAATAAATTATATTAAGTACAATATATCACTTGAGCTCTCAACATATTATTTTCTTTTTTGTACATGGTGTTGTCATTCACAGGGGCAGAATAGTAGTTTGCCTCTTGTTGGGTTGGTGGTGGCCGATTCTGGCCTGTACACTAGTATAGTTGTTAATGATGCAGGACTAAAGTTTGAAGACATAATACTAGATGTCCAACCAGGTAGGATTGTGTAACTAATTAGTGATTGATTATAATTTATTTATAGATTAGAAATTGAATGATAGGTTAGTGATTGATGTATTCATTCATTGATTAGTGATTGATTAATTAATTTATTGATTGTTTTGTTTATCTAAGTCATTGATTATAATATAGTGATTAATTAGAGGATAATTGATTAGAAATTTATTAATTAGTGATTGATTGAATAGTGATTTTCTAAGCAATTGATTTATTGATAATAATTTGATTACTTATTGATTAATTAATAATCAATTATTTAGTAATTAATTGATTATCATAATTGAAGTAATTGATTAATTGATGGATTATTAATTGATTGGTTATTATTGTTTATAATTCAACTCAAAAGTAGCTAGGCCTAATTGTTTAAATTATACATTGATTGATTGTTGATTAATTAATATTCATGTTTAATATTTCAAATGAATAACCAGCTGTCTTTCACCGGTATAATCATGATAAATGTTGATGATAATATCTAGTTAATTTTCTTTTTGTTCTTCAAGTTCCGGTACCTATTCCCGTCACTGACAATGACATCATCATCTTCATTGGACTTTGCTGTCTGTCCTTGGTGACGTTTCTGGTGATTGTGAGCATATTCATATACAGAAAGCTCAAAACAAGACAATTGAATTCAAGGAACCACTTAAGTAAACTAGTTATCAACAGCATATATGAAATCAGTGATGTAGTAAGTAAAAATTTATTTATACAATAGATAGACTTTTAATTGCACCTATCCTACTGAAACCTGACCTTATCGTTTCTACATTAAACCAATAAACACCCAACCCCCATTTATCCCTGAAACCACCCTCTTGAGTCCTTTCATAAATGTTTCCCATTAATTTATTGTATATAGGCTATATTTTTTTTATTCACATGTAATTTAAATGTTTGTGAAATGTTATTGAAGCAGGTATTCGCCCATGATATTGGCACTTGTAGCGTTGAATAAAATTGATATGCATAGAATATTTAAGCTAGTAATATGTTTTTCTTTCAAATTCAGTAGATGTTTGTCTAAATTTTTGAGTCAAATCTATGTGATAATCTATTTTTAAAAAATAGTATGCCCTAATTTGTTTCAAATCCACAGAAAAATGTCTGATTTTATTTTAAGTCCTTAGAGTAGTATGTGATTACTAGTAGAATAACAATATGATCAAATGATATTTAAAATAATAATTGAAACAGTAAAACAGATTATAAAATGTTTAAAATCCTCAGGATGGTGATTTTGATCTATTCCGTTAGTGTCTTATGTTTTTGTACTTGAATAATATAATAATATAGGCCTAATAAAATAACAAAACATATCAGAGTAAGCCTGAATTTAGTTATAATCCTCCAGAAAACATTTATCTAATTTTTTATTAATCCCTAGTGCCTTGTGATTATAACATAATGAAGTAGACCCTACTTTGGTTAAATTTCTCAGACTATATTTTTCTGTTTTTTGTTTAATCAGTTGTTTATTAGATACTGTATAATAATATTCTATAATATAGTATTAAGAAGCAAAAGGCTTCGATCAGACCCCAGTGTATCACATTTATTTTGTTTTAATCCACTAATTTGCAGTTTTAAGAAGATATTCTAAACCTAGGCCTATATACTGTAATTATAAAATATTATCTTTATTTGTGGGGTTTTTTTTAATGATATACTATATTTAACGTTGGCATTTGTAACTGTATTATATTATCCAAAGTTAGGGAATATTTTAGGATATGCTTTACTTTGGCTTTTCTAATTATAGTATGATCATATTTTGATATATTTGTATATCTGTATGATCTTCCTGGATATTGCCTGCTTTTATATATTATTTTTGCTTAATCAATCAATTTTTTATTCAAAAAACACCAGAACATCAAAAATACAGAGAAAATACAGAAGAAAAACAAACGAATATCGAATAAAAAAACACCCATCAACCAGATCAATCAGAACAAAAATTCATGAAATGGAATCCCACGCCGTACCAGTAAAATAACTCATATGACAAAAAGGAGATAGAGATTCTCTCAAGAGGTCACCATATAATTTTCAGATTAATGTAAAATAGTGCTGATACTGATTGCATTACCGAGTGACTTTTTACAATTTTTTTTTACAAAAGAGTAAGTATTGCTTATCAAGACAAACTTTTGCAAATGAAAACAAATTATTCCTACAAGTTGACATTACTCTGTCAATTTTAGTACTCTTGTAGGTGGTATCACCATTGGCTTCACAATTAATTAAATGTGAGTAAAACCTTCTGGAAATGAAAGAATTATTAAAAATTTGGAAAACAAGGTTCTCTTAACATCATAAATCTTGGGAATTTCAAAGGAAATTAATAAGTTGGTGGTTCTATAATAGTTAGGAAACTAACTAATATGTTCTGATATATACATATGATAATGTTGTTAATGATAATTTTATTGGAAGAAAAAGAAATGAAAATTTGGAAGGAAAGAAATGATAATATTACCTATACTAGAATTATGTTTGGTACTTGCCTCATACCACTGAATGTAAATTATGTGAAAACATTGTAATATTAAAAATATTACAACATATTAAGAAAATAAGACAATATATTACTCTTTTTTTTCAGAACCAACCAATGGTTTTAGCAGCAAAAAATGATTCTTTACAATCCAGTATCTATGGCAGGCCCAAATCGATATCAACGGAACCAGAATCACTCTCATCCTACGCATCATCCTCAACAGATGTCGAACTCCCGGACCAGTGGGAATTTCCCTTTAATAGGTAGGAGTATTTACTTTAAGATGAACCACATATTTGACCCCTCATTTAATGGTCTTGGCACAGAATATAACCAATTAATTGCTTATTCTTTGAAATTTCTGTTTTGATACAGTGTTAAATTACTTCCTTCAATTTATACAGAAAGTATTTCTTTTATCGCAGGATGAAATATATATCTGGGTTTTAGTGCTGTGATATACAGTAGTACATAACTTTACTCTATGCATTTAATAATTATTATCTGGGTCACGGATATCAAATAGCCTATTGAACTCGGACTCAATTTCCTGGGGATATTCCATGATGTTGCTGTATTAGGGCATTGGCATTAATACCTACCAACTACTCACTTATACTCCAGGGGGAAGAAACACAATGAGATGATGGGCTATGTGGAAATACGCAATATCAAAAACAATAGCGGATCAGCATCCCACAATTGACCTTTTTATGAACCCTATTCTGTACCACAAAAAAAAATCAACATGGAAACCATATGCTTCATAACTAATGCCATTTTTTGCATTTCTTTTTTTTTTTCATTTTCAACCTCAAGTTGGAGTTGTTTGGAGTTGTGAGAAAAAATCTTATAAATTACAGGATTTGAACCCAGGAATTGGTGATTAAAAAGCTGCTACCTTACCTTCCAAACCATACCACTCTTTCCTAATTACACTGGCTGTTATCTATGTCTGTAATAAATTTATTAGGAATTTCTTACTAATTGGAATAGAGGTCGTTGGCATCTACTTTAATGCACTAGATTCCAATCAACATGTAATTACCGGTATGTATGTTTTGTAGACTCAAAATTGGTCGAGTGATTGGCGAGGGAGCGTTTGGTATTGTACATTTAGCCGAAGCAATTGGTATTAAAAGCAAAGCAGAAGTATCACTCGTTGCTGTCAAGATGTTGAAAGGTAAAAATGAAACTTACTCACAGCCAATCACTGGCAGTTATATAGCTCAGGATGATTATATTATTAATAAGCTTAAGGATGAAATTATGCTTGAGAGATTCACTTCAAAATTTTGATCAGGATGGTTGAGAAGTTTTTGCTCAGTGTGGTGTGGTGCCCTGCCTTGAAATTTAAGGGTTTTGGTTCGATTCCCTATAATTGAATTTCTCACAACTGAATTATCATTACTGACTCAGTGTTGAGTCAGTGTACTATTATTAGAAGATAGATTTTGTATAGAGAACAAATATTTATACAGCTCATTGCCATCAAATATTTAACTGTACTTTTTTTTTTTTGCTGTTAAGCACCACCAACAAAACATGATTTTCATTCATTTCTGGAGGAGTTACAGATGATGAAGGGGATCGGAAGACATCCTAACATTATTAATCTTTTAGGATGCTGCACCCAAGGTGGTAAGCATGCAGTATAGGAGCGTTATATATTGTATATAGAAAAAATATATGATTATCATCATCAGTCATTTGTATTAAGACTCATTAGATTAATTACAACATTATATAATTATTAATATTATTGCTAAGTCAAATTCCCTTTTTCTATCATTGTCTGCTCTGGATCTATATAATGTTTAGGCCTATAATCATATTTTGTAAATTTATATTGAGCTATTTACAATTTTAACTAATTTTATATTGTTCAGGGCTGTTGCTTGTAATAATAGAATATGCAAAACTGGGCAACCTGCGTGATTATCTTCGACTGAATCGTCCACCAGTCTGTAGTAACAGGTGCGTCAATCACCTCAAAGTTGCGTTGCTTGTCAAAGATTTATTGTCAATGGCCTACCAAGTTACTAAAGGAATGGAGTACCTTGCATCCAAAATGGTAAGGAATATGTTGATAATAATGTTCCTAATAAATAGTGTATTAGTAGTAGTAATAATAGAGGTAGTAGTATCTGCAGTAGTACAGTTTAATTAGTGTTAGCAGTAGTTAGTATATTTTGTTAATTATTGTGATATTTATAGAGTAGCAATGAATCAGTAGCAGTAGCAGTGTTATTTTTCACATGGTAATGGCAATGGATGTAGACTTGTGCATTGCACATAATACTAGGTCTCTATGCACTTTAAACAAATGTCCAAAAGAAGATGAAGAAAGGGAAAAAATAAGATGAAGAAGAGACAAATGAAAAGGAACAAACACAATAAACAAACGAAAAACAATTAAATGGATGAGAAAAGATGAGTTTTGAGTCTGGACTTAAATAGTGAAATGAATGGCGACCTTATATATGAATAGAAAGTGTAGAAGACATGTGTCTCAATCTCTTTCTGAGTTGCACCTTCAAACAACTGCAAAAATCTCCCACAAATTAAGCCATTCTAGCAAATTCTGAATGTTTTCTTGTTTAATTTACTACCGTATTATAAGTTAATCAATAATCTCCTTCAAGACTACTGGCGATGGATATCTGACACAGCAAAATACAAAAAATGTGTTAAGGAAGCTCATTGAACTAGATATCCTTATTGCAGCTTCTCCTACCTAAGGATTCCTGTTTATATTTAGTTTTAGTAGTGGTATATACTGTAGAATAGTAGAAGTGTTAGTCCAGTTTGTGTTAGTAGTAGTGTCTTACTGTATTATAATATTTTGATAATTGAAAATGATTGATGTTTCTACCAACAACAGTTGCTTTAAAATAATATTTTGCAGTGTATCCATCGTGATCTGGCTGCTCGTAATATCCTGGTGACGGAAGATTTTGTTATGAAAATTTCTGATTTCGGTTTTGCACGTAATATAATGAATATGGATTACTATCGGAAGGAGACCGAGGTAACACATTCTTATCAACATCACCGTCATCGCCATTGTCATCATCATTATCATCACCAGCGTCATCATTATCACCAACATTATCATCACCAACATCATCATCATCATCACTAGCATCATCATTATCATCAACATTATCACCATCACCAACATCATCATCATCATCATTATCACCAACATTATCATCATCACCAACATCATCATCATCATCTTCATCACCAACATCATCATTATCACCAACATTATCATCATCATCACCAACATCATCATCATCATCACCAACATCATCATCATCATCACTAACATCATCATCATCATCACCAGAATATTGGGGCTTTCCATGCCAGACCAGCATCAGTGTCAAAAACATGAAGAATGACTTTAATATATTCATATTCTGCACATTATAAGCTTTAAAGTGATAGGTCATTTACTACAAATGACTTGCTATTGCCAAAGTTTGAGTAAAAGCATTACAGCTTCTCTGTAGTAAAGTATACAATACTACTATATTCTTATGCCAATTACTCAGTTCAATAAGTATTGACAGTACGCTTGTTTTTGGAATGGCGAACCTAGTTCAATCATTATCGCCATCATCCTCATCCTCCTGAAGATCTTTCAAAAATAAAGTTTTCTAAACAAGTTATCATAGTGGAGTAACTTCAGAATTCATTATTTTTTTGTGGCAGAGTGGTAATAATTGTACGCTGTACTAGGCTTACTGATTATAGTGAATACTGATTGATGGATTAAAGTGATTATTTGCTTTAGGGTTGGTTACCAATCAAATGGATGGCCCCAGAGACGATGTCCGATTATGTGTTCACCACACAGAGTGATGTCTGGTCGTTTGGTGTGTTGTTATGGGAGATTATGACTCTTGGTATGACCCCATATCCAAGCATTCCAACAGACAGGATATTGAAATTTTTGATGGATGGAAAAAGGATGAGCCAACCATATGGATGCTCACTAGATATGTAAGACACTGATTCTTAATAAAATGTTTTAATTTCTCACATCATACTGTATTGGCATTGTCTGCAGTTTAATTATTTTTCTCTTATCCTTTCTCCAACACCAATCTCTTTTTGGATTTAAGTTGGATAATATTTTATCTGTGTCAATATATTAACAATTATTTGACTGTATTTACAGTAAAAACTGGTAAACACTTTTGTATTTATTTTGTACAATTTACCTTCTGACAGTTATCATGTGATGGAAGGGTGTTGGCAATTCTCTCCCAAGAAACGACCCACATTTCCAGATTTAGTCCAAGATATATCTCGAATTTTACATGAAAAATCAAATCAGGTATGCAAATCACTACATTTGTTTTTATTTCTGTGATATGTAACAGAATGGAACATTTGCCAAGTTGTTGTCTTGAGAAAGATAATGATGTTGAATGATTTGATCCCAGTTCTTGGGAATTCAAGGCAAGCATCTTAAACACCAATCTAAAGCTTCATTTTACTCCAGGGGCTGGTAATTTTTTTATTATTATTATTTGATATTTTATTTTTATCTGTCCAACAGACAGGTTATTAAGAATGATTTGATCCCAGTTCTTGGGAATTCAAGGCAAGCATCTTAAACACCAATCTAAAGCTTCATTTTACTCCAGGGGCTGGTAATTTGTTTATTATTATTATTTGATATTTTTTTTTTGTCAAGTCAGATTTTCAACCACATGACTACTCCTTTGTAAGAAATGCACTTTAAGCACCAAGTCGCAGCCAGGTGTATACTGTAGCTCCTCATGTATAAGCCCACCGTCTACTTTATGCCTAATGTTACGTACCAGCCCTTCCTTGGGCAAAAATACTCTGAAAAATCAAATACTGGTTTTGAATTAGGCATGCAGTGATGAAAAGTTGCCTTCCCGGTTATAAGCCCATCTCCCCAAATCAAATGCAATTGATTCAGTTGTAAATTAGTTAACATTTTTCACATTTTTTTTTTTTTATCACTTTTATTCATCAAAAATATACATCAGAACACATTAAAATTCATATGAAATTGAGTGAATAAAGGGAACGAAAAACCCCAGACTTGTTGAATTAAAAAACACGCAGGGGTGCCACAGGACAAAAACATCAAAAACAAATTCGGACATCAAAAACAAAGAAACACGAGGAAAAAAAAGAACAATAAGACAGTTCATCGTCGAGGACCAGACGTTCCCCTGGCCAGAAGGCAGTGAGATAGCGAACCTAGATGTTGAATAGAGGCGGGTTTATCCAGGTTTATTTGATTTGTTATGTTTACCTTACTTTAACTTTAATTTTTACTTTACTGTACTTTGTAACTGGACCATTTTTAAAAGCACTAAAATGCTACTGAAAATGCAATCCAGTTAAAAGTAAGAATAAATAAATAAACCCAATTTTGTGTTCAAGTGGGATGGGCTTATACCAGAGAAACGACAATAATAATGTAATTTCATGTACTTGATTAATTATTTTCTGATTCAATTTCTTTCTCTCTCTCAGGAGTATTTAGATTTGGATGTGGTGGTGGCGACGTCTTTCAGAATGTCATCAACAGATAAAATTAGCTGTACAAGCTCAGAGCTGCCAATTAATACATAAATATTTTCCTGCCGGGCTATGCCATGGAGTTACCAAGCACCAGATTCTGACTTTTTTTTTATATCACTTTTATTCATCAAAAATATACATCAATACACATTAAAAATTCATATGGAATGGAGTGAATAAAAGGAAACGAAAAACCCCAGATTTGTCAAATTAAAAGAACACGCAGGGGGTGCCGCAAGACAAAAACACCATAAACAAATTCGGACATCAAAAACAAAGAAACACGAGGAAAAAAGAAGAACAAAAAGACAGTTCAGCGTCGAGGACCAGACATTCCCATGGCCAGAAGGCAGTGAAATAGCAAAACTAGATGTTGAATAGAGGTGGGTTTATCCAGGTGGGTTCATCTCTGGCGTAATAAATGCTGTGAGATGAAACTAAGGCAATTTTTGAAATATTGTATTTAAAAGGCTTAAATGATATGGGACAGTTAATAGATTTATGGATAGTTTTAAGGCGTTTATTGTTGTCAGAGTTGAACCCCCTAGAACCCACCTCCAGAGCAACAAAATCAACCTTGAACCCAGAGCCGAGGATGTCTGAAACCAATGGGGCATATTTATTAGTTTTTAATGTGTGGGCGTTATCAATCTATTTGGGTTAAGATCCAGCTTCCATGCATGCCAGCTTGGATTGAAGAAATTTTCTCATCAACATCAACAACTGAATCTCCTTTCAAATATCTCTTGATTTCCTCACATGTTTTCTCCATTCCACCTCTACAATTTGTACCTGCGGGCTCAATTCCCCTCATCCATTCTTCCTAAGTGACCAATAAGCTGCTATTCTGTATACATGATTTACTGACACTCTACAATATGTCTTCAGTTCCTCAGATCTAAGCCACGGAATCTTCCATTACACATGCTCCTGATCATTTTTGTATCATTTAGTTCTAACTTGAACATATCTTTCTCCTTAAATGGCCATGTTCACAACCTTCGTTACACTACACACACAAACCTGATGTAGTATACCCTTGGTTGGTAGTGGGAAAATTCCCTCAACAATATGCCAAACTTGTTTTTCCTAATTCTGTTTATAACACTAACATCTGTACCTTGCATCACCCAGGTAGTTAGATAGTTTCTGAACAATGTCCAAAGGATCATTATCAAATTCTCCTACCTCGATATTTGATTTATCAACAATCTCCCTCAACTGTGTATGTTTTACATTTATACTGGTTATTTTATGTAAGTCTTACCTTAATTCCATTTCAACTTATGTGCACCCAAAGATTGCAGAATTTATAGAAAATGGAGTTTCTTAAGCTTCCTTAAGACTGGTCTTAAGAACCCTACCTCTTAAGAATTCCTTAATCTAATCATTCCAATCAACACTTGTTCCATCTAAACTAATCCCTCCATGATCATACAAAGGGCATTGGAATTCCTCCATGGTCAGGGCATCGTCATACATATATTCAAGTTTTTTGATAAAAAATGAAAATCGAAAGGATTGTGTCTAATGTTCAGCAAAGTTTAGTTATCTGTTGGTGTGAGGAATAGGTTCTGTGGAGGAGATAACGAAAAGTAAAAGTGTATTTCTTTCGAGTAATTGACTGCATCTCGCATTATTAAAATTTACTAGTTATTGTACCAAATATTTAAAAAACTCCGTTAAGGGCATTAAATGTTTGTTTTTTTTGGTTTTTTTTGTTTTTTTTTTTTTTCATGGGAAGGGGGTTGGAAAGCCACTTAGAAAGTGATTAATTTTGCTATTGGCAATCCAGTCCACCTCCTGAAAACATGTTTAATTTTCTAGTTTTTTTTGTATTGTTTTTTGAATATTGTATTTTATATCAAGTGACAGAATAAATGAAATTGAATGAATGTGATTTTCAGTTTTTGTACCTAACATTAGTTTTTGTGTCTAAACACAGAATCAATGTATTTCGATATCAATTTTCTGCACTATCAGTGAAATAAAATTGTTAAATGTATTGTGTTAAGCTTTTTCACACTGACACAAAATACATGTGATTTGCCCATTTAAGGGAATTAAATGACATCATTATTGACATGGACAGAGTTCATAGTAGATATGTTAGTGAGGTGATGGGCTGGTTCACAGAACATCTCAAGAATGTTTTTTTTTTTTTTTGCATTTGTGATGAAACCATCACCTTTATCAAAAAGAATTATGCATGTTTATAGTATTTATTTTTACCAAACATTTGTTACCCAAACCCATTTAAACAAATACAGTACTGAATACTGTTATTGTATAATTGTTTTGTATAACTTTTAGTCTCTTTTAGTTTAGTTGTTTTTTTTCTTTCTCATTGAATGCACCGAAATGTTGCGTGCCACTGAAACAAAAGTGTATGTTCAGTTGAATAAATAAATAAAAATACAAATCCCCAGAGAGTATCTGTAACCTATTTCAAATGAATTTTTCATTCTGTAATCTTTGAGTAGATTACTTGCTACTTTAAATGTATAGGTTGATAAATCATTTAAGTACTTAACCATACCATATGTTATTTAATCATTTTAGTTCATGGAATTGTATCCAACTGTTTTGAAATAAGGGGGTGGTGTGGCACTCGATGATTAAGTGAGGGGAACCAGCTCACAAAATAAGGATACGCCACATGAACATACATATTTTGCATAGTACTTTATAATCATGTATTTTAATGTGCATTGAAATACTGTATGTATATTTGACCTTGCTCAGTACTGTATATGCAAAGATATTTTACTTACAACATACATTACATAGAATATATATTGTGCATAGTACAATTAAAGCAGCCCTGGTATTTTACAGTGTTAACCTGGAGTACATATAGTTAACCAGTATTTTCAAACTAGATATTTTACTATGTGTATGACATAAAAAATTAATACATGTAGTATATTGTAAAAACTAAACAATTTACACTACTGTATGTTAATTTGCACTGCACAGTGTCTCTCTCTCTCTCTCTCTTGACCTTCGAACAATGTAGTTCGTTAAAATACTGTAAATTATTATATAATTATATGAATCACTGCACTGCTGCGAGGCACCCGTATATAATACGTAGTGTAAATGTCCATACTTAGTTGAGACGCACAGGTATATATTTTTATTAAATTTTTTATGGATATCATTAATTTGATATCCATATATTTTGTCAATTATTCTTATATAGATATACTGTGTATAAATATATAGTTATCAACTTCAATTTGTAAGAAAGTATAATACATACTCCCAGTATTGAAATGCATGCCATCGTGTTGGGATTCAATATTTCGACATTGATTATGTCATCATCAGGAATGAACAATTTACATTGATGACATAATTAATGTCGAAATATTGAATCCCAACACGATGGCGTGCATTTCAATACTTGGTGTATGTATTATACTTTCTTATCAATTTGTAATGTGTAAAAAAAATTCCATCATCATTTAACAGATGTATACGTAAAACTTTTCTTTGACCAGTGCCTTAAATTGGCTGCTGAAAAGAATTGTTGTGAATGTTGAGATCAACAGTTCTTTTCATAACTATCTCTGTGGTGTACCGCAAGCATTTAATATACTGTTTAATATTTTAATTTTTTTTAAGGGTTTTTTGTATTTTTAAGATGTTACTTTTTAGTAGTGATTAAGGTATCATTATCATCATCATCATCATCATTTAAAGTTTGTTGTTCCCTATGATAAAAATGTTTATCTAATGCTTTAATTGCTATACTGTTCAATGTTGTAATTTAATTTTTTTTTAGGGTTTTTTGTATTTTACAGTATGATGTTACTTTTTAGTAGTGATTAAGGTATCATTACCATCATCATCATCATCATCATCATCATTTAAAGTTTTTTGTTCCCTATGATAAAAATGTTTATCTAATGCTTTAAGATTGATACCCCTACCTCTGAAATGTATTATAACTGATTTTTTAATTCCTCCATTTTTCAAACATACTAATTTGAATTATACTAATATTTCGTATCATTAGGGAGAAGTGACTCCTTCATTTAATCTACTTTTCTAGGTATGTTTTTTTATTACATTCAACGTAGTTATTCTATATGTGTCATGGCTATTTTGATAGTTTCATTCCATTAATATTTGTTTATAATATAAATAGGTTTATTAAGTATAAGTGTTTCGTCTACTAATAACACATTTTAATATGTTGGTTAGAGCATTTAAGCCAGTAAAAATTAATTTCTCACCAGTAGTTTTCATTGCCTTTTCTTAGACTGGTGAATGAGCACCATTGATTAATCATTTATTTACTACTCTACTAATATAACCATCAATATCAACATGAAAGTTCTTTTTAAATCTGTTATAATTATTTTTATTCCTGTTATTAAAATGAAATAAAGCATGACCACAGAGTTGAAATCTATGATGTTATAGCTTTCTCTGTAGTATGACCAACTATTAATATCATGTGACAAGACTGTTGTAGCTCATTGGCTAATCATAAAACTAAAAGCAAACAACTATTTTCATGGCCCAAGCCTGACCAAGAGAAAATTGGAAATTAGTGACAATTGGTAGTCAGCAGTCTATCAGTTTTTTTTTTGTTTTTTTTTATACTATAGGCCTAAAGAACCTAGAAGGTTTGTGGCAGTCTGCAGTCATGGCAGCCAAGTTAATTTGTCTGGTATAATATGGTAACTACTCAGTGGCGGATCTAGATAGGGGGGTGAATAGGGTGGCTAGCCGCCCCCCCTTTGATTACCTTGGGGGAAAAAATTAGTCACTTATCTTGTGTGTGTGCTTCTTGTGTATACATGTTATGTGTTGTAGCTACTCTGGTAATTACATACGCTTTCTATTTTAAGCTTAACTTCTTTTCAGATACCATCTATGTGATGCCCGTAGCATGGCTTAATTTGTGGGAGGTTCGTTTCAGTGGAAATTGGACCCTTTGGAAACCATAATAACAAAGCACAACGCAGGGAAATGCAGACTCGAAATACTTCTGGCTTGTATGATCTCCGTTACTCTGGAGTAAATATATCTACAAATATCAATTTTTCGTTTTTAAATGCGGACCTTCTCCAGTTTTTGGGCGGTTTGTCTTAACCCCCTGAACCTCTCACGCTACGGGCCTGTATGAGCGTCTAGCCATCTACTAATTCCAAAAAACCTACCCCCCCCCCCCTTCGTTGCCCCCCCCCCTTCGTTGCTTAGCACCTCGCATTATCCGCCCCCATTGCTAAATCTTAGATCTGCAACTGCTACTCGCTTAATATCCATGTCTAAACCTCTGTCCAGGCTATCAAATTTTCTTTGAAAAAACATATGCTCATATATATTCATGATGTGCCCATATATAGTCATGATGTGCCTATATATGGTCATGATGTGATGTCATCATGACCATATTTAGGCATGTCACATGTTTTTGTCGAATAAAACTTGAGAGTTTGAAAATGACTTTTGTTATCTTTTAATTGAAGTTTGGAAAGTGCACTCTTTAAATCATACTATTATTTCTGGCTCCATGGGTAAAAGAAAAAGGCTGTTACAGTTCATAGAAAGGCAATTCAAGCATCTGTTGGGCTTGGGCAATGTATTATTTTTTTGACCTAATTTTGAATCTTGGTTCAGTTCGGGGAAGTGATAGGCTTTGTATTTGATTTAAATCCTACAGTCATTTACTAACAGCTGATAGAGTGGATTGTGATGATGTCATCAACATATGATGTCTTCAACAACTTAAGCCCTATTAAGCCCAAAGCATGGGCAAAAGCATTCTCATGTGTTTGGTTTTTTTTGCTTTTGCTAACACTTTCATATGACAAGAAAACTGTTGCAGCTGACAGAGGGCGTTGTGATGATGTGATCAACATCTGATGTTGTCATCAACATAAGCCGGATTCAGCCCACTGCAGGGGTGTGCCTTCCTAAGTCGACACTTAAGTTTCCTAACACGTGCATTTGCCATTCATGTGAACTTGTTGCTTTCATCCATCCACAGCATCTAAAAATTTGTTTAAATTGCTAATTATATTTTAATAAATGATCGGAAATGCGTGTAAGACACAAATTTTGGGAAACGAGGGGGTATTTATACACCATTTCCCCCATGTTTTATCATATTATTCGGTCCATTTCCGATTATTTCTTCAAACATCCTTATGTCAGTAATATTTATGTGTCCAACATATCAACAACTTTAATAATAACATCATAGTTCATTTTATTAATATATTTTTTTAAAAAAATAATAATTTTTAATATCCAGAGGTGCACTTGCATGAGTTATGGAGTGTCGTAGTTGTGTGGGACCAGAAATGGTGTGAAGTTGGTTAGTTGTTACGATGCCTGTTTGACCTCGGATTACAGCAACATCAAAAGTAATATGTAAACGCCTCAGAGGTTATTTCTGGGTGTCTAGAAAACAAAAATTTCCGGACCGCCATAGAGTAGTGTTGTCTCTCGATCGGCCCCGTTTTCCTCCGCTCCTCTGGATCTGCCCCTGGTCTGAGCTGGCATGATCATCATCTTTAGGTTCACACAAAGATTGTTATTGCATAAAGGACAATGCAAAGTGCATTATCCTGATAGTTTTTTAATATTAAAAAGTATTTAGTATAGTGCAAAGACACAGTTTCTGTTTCTTTGATCTATGGTATTATCTAATGTTAGGCCAAACTTTGTTCAATGTGGTTATCTAGGGCCATGGAGGTGGACCAAGCTCATTGAATTTCCGAGCATGGAAAGTGAGCAAAATGCAGTGTGCAAAAACAGCAAAGCAGGATGCAAGAAATAAAGAAACAATGGTTTTTTTTTTTTTTTTCGCTGTAAACAATAAATCCTGATGTGTAAACATCATCATAGCAGATTATACAGTAATTTAAATTACATGTGGATGAACCATACAACACTAATCATGCCTTCCTTATTATTTTGTAAATGATAGCTTTAGACCATTGGTTGGCTAAGCTGGCAGCCAATCAGAAGCCAGGGTTTCTAATTATTATCTTAATTGTTTCTAGTTAGCATGAATGATATTCAGTTCCTCAAATCTCCTTCCATCCAACAGTGTTTTTTGTTAAGGTAAGATTTATATTTTTTAGCATCGTTAAGCTCTTAATTACAGCTGATACTAAATGTATTGATTTAGGAAAAGAACTGTATAGGAAATTTGTGTTTACTGTATTCTGTACAAGTTTTCCTGAAATATATATTTTTCTGGGTTGTACTTCGGTAATAGGGTGTAAATAGTGGTGGCACTAGGGGTGAACATGAAGGAAGGTGCTGTGGGTGGGGGAAGGGGTGGTTGGGGGATGATTTTTAATTGCATTCTTTTACCATAATAGAATTCAAGGTATTCTGATTCAAACTACCAATTCATATCCCAGAGCCTCACTGCTGTTCTTGTTCTTATTACCAGAACTTTAAAAGCATCCAGCGTTGCCAGTTCTGAACAGACCTGCAGGAAATTTTGTACACATACTAGAGGTGATTCCAGCAAACGTTATCGTCCTTTTTTGAAGTTGAACCCCAGGGTTCTGGCTCCTACACCTACAAAACATAACAGGGTTTTCAGCAAGGACTGTACGTTATTGCCATTACCACTAATAGGGCACGTTGCATGGATGGCGTGGTCGGTTAAGGATGTGTATTAAAGAACTTAAGGTTGTGAGCTCGAATCGCATCTTGGTATTTAATTTTTTTTTTTTTTTTTTTTTTTCCCAATTTTAAGAAATTATATTTTTTACAATTTTAAGATACCTTGATTTTGTACAAATGAACATTCTAAATAGTATTTTTTTCAACAAATAAACATTCTAATTATTTAAAAATTTCTATCTTATTAGCTCTTCCAAAAAACCCAATATAATAATTTGTGTCTGTACCAGTCGCTCTTTTTGTTTATTTATTATTTAAATTTCTTATTAATTATGGCTTCAGTATTTGTGTTTTTTTTTTTTTATACTGGTGTAGTCTACATATAGAATATGAAAATAGAGAGAAAGATAATATATATATATATAATTTTGTAAGAATAATATTTTCAATGATAATATAAAGTAGCCCTATTAAATGTCATTGTTCTAATCAGAATTCTGTATAATATGTGGTATAGGTGAATTTGTTGCATATATTGGCATTATGTAGGTTTCAATTTCACAAATAATTAGATCTGTTCAGAAATTGCTTTGCTCTCCATTTAAACCTGGAACTTCCAAACGTAAGCAGACTCCAGGCACCAGCAGTTCAATGTATTTATTTCATTTATTTATTCAACCACAAATTGCATTTTACAAAAATGGTAAGGGACGGTTAAAGAGAAACAAATCTCTGAAGAATGAAGGGCTAACTGCCCCTTTAACAAAGAAACACAAAACTAATTACATATACCGGTAGGTTAATTAAAAAGAAAGCAAATGGCGAATGACAATAATAGAATATACAATTTAAAGAAACATATATATATATATATATATATCTGTCTCTTATACACATCATAAATTTTTTTAACGATAAATTTCCAGGAATCCGCCTCTGTTTTCTCACATAAAAGATCTAAAGAATGAATAGGCATACATACAAGTAATAAAGAATATATTAGTATAATTATGCATCAAAAATGTAATTTCAAATGTTAATATATTTTATCTGTTGGCCTGGAGGAAAAAGATCAGCAACACCTGCAGGTGGTAACATCTGCTCCGCCCACAAAATAAATTTGTGTACCTTTTTAAAGCCTAATATATTTCTGAACAGCTTAACTGCTCCAAATTTTCCCAGTTCATCTTAACCGCAACAGGGATCCACTCCTGAAAACCCCTACCGAAAACTGTTAGACCCATTGCTGGTCAGCTCCTTCCCCACCTCCCATAATGCATATCTCATACCCCATGATGCTTCACTCCCAACTTACCAGACAGAAAAACTTAACCCCCCCTGTTAGGCAAATTTTGGCACCAACACTCTCTACACCCACTGCCAGACACATCCTGACCTGTGACTTCTTTCTATAGATTCAATGTATCAAGTAATGGTGGTGCTGCATAGGCAAATATACATATAGTAAATAACTAGTCAAATGGTATCAAATATATATCACAAAATTTATTTGAAAACTAGCAAGTACTTTTGACTGTAAGTCTTTATCAAGCTATGATGTAGAACATGGTAAGATAGAATTAAATACATAACAGAAGCTCATGAAGTGCCTTATGATATAACCAATGAGATTGATTAAAATACACAGATTAGCCAGTTGTGTAGTCTTTTTTTTTAAGGGACCACCCAACATTAATTAATTTTACCATTAAGCTGTGCTTGTCTCATGTTTGAAAGTACTTAACCATTATGGATTATTTCCCAATGGAGCTGAGTTTGTGTTTCATGTGTGTTTGAGGAAATAATATGAAGTACTGTACATAGAAGCCTGATGTGATGCACTATGTCACTGTTTCCTTGTTATTGTAAATTTTAATGTATTTAGGCAAATATATGAAATTAAATTTAATGAAGTAGAGGTGCACAGACAGACCACAAACCCTACTTATTTCAGCATGAAATCCTTTCATAAGATGATTGCAATTCTAATCATTTTGGGAATTGATCTTATCTGTAATATGTACAGGTGTAGGTGTAATATGTAGGTGTTATTTGGGGTATCTAAAATATTCATTATAATTATTAGCATCAAGCTACCAAGGGAAGATAAGGTGAGAAAGGGGCGTAACTACCCTTTTCTTACACCTTTTCCCCCAGTTTTTAAATATTCAAAAATCTGTATCTCATTAACCGTTCTTGGGTTTTTCGTCAAATATGCTTTTGGTGTCTTAGAAAAATCAGTTCTACAACATATTAAAAAATTGTTTTCCTCCGGACCCTGGCTTTAAAGGAAATTTCGTAAATACAGGAACATAATGGTTATGCTTTGTTTCTTTTATTATTATCATCATTATAATCATCATCATCATTATCTTTATTATTATTATTTAATTGTTTAATTATGTTTATTATAAGATAATACAGTTTACTGATAATACAATATTACTTCAATATAATTCATTTTTTTATTATTCAATTGCAGTAAGAATATTTAGCTTCTGTTTTTTAAGTTTTTTTCTTATGCCACTTTGTTTACATATTGAATATTGAATTTTTTTAAGTTTAAATAATTGATAATTTAACTTCAATATAATTCAAATTGAAATTTATGTAAATAAAATAATTAAATAAAAATTGTTGATGTATTGATATTTTTCCTGAATTGTATTTGCATTTTGCAATACAGGTAATATTTATTTTCTTGATGTTTTTGGTGTTTTTACTTGTATTTTTTCTAATTGATACAATTTGAATGTGATTTCAATTATTTTTTCGGTACTATTTGCATCCAATCTTTTATGCTGTTTTTATTGCTTGCAATAACAATTAATTTGAATTGAATTGGCCATTAAATTCATAATTCAGGGCCGTCTGAACCGCACTAAACTATTATCCTCTTTGTTTTTTTCTCATTTTGACAGTGGAAAGGCAGTTTAGACTAAATGGGGATTGGTTTTAACCAAATGCTAGTACAATATAATTCAGATAAATGTGAGTCCACCAGCAAAAAAACAAATGGCACCCATAATACCACCTAATGATATAGCCTAATTATTACTACCGTATATAATATATGTCATAAATGTACAATAATATTTCTTGCATGCTAGTGACTATTTGCAAACGCTGCATTCAGTCTGATTGTCTGTATCATCAATAATTAATCAGTTTTGTTAATAATTTTCTTACCTATGTCGTCCTTCTCTACATCAAGAAACCACAGAGTGTTTCGGCGTCGGCTTTCTTTATTCTCTGAAGATTAGTCACACCACAGCATAATATGGAGATGCGCATAGCCTTCTTCATTTTACTGTTAAATTTTGCCTTAAGTCTTTGTTCAGCTGAGCAAGGTTGCCTCAATATGGAAATCCGTAAGTTGGAATTATATGACTGAATAATGTATTCTCTGCAAATTATTTTTGCTTTCATCAAAAGAAATATAATGGCTTTAAAAAAAAATATAATTATGAAAAACACAACATACAATATAAAATTATATATATACATGTATACAGCATAGTGGTTTGTATTGGATTATTGTGTCTGTTATTAGATCTATTAGTATTATTATCTCCGCTAGTAATAAATTCAGTTTTTTGAAATCACATTCACTAATTGGGAATATTTTTAATGCATCTTTATATTTAAACATGTGATGCTAAGAACCATTGTCTATTTACATAATGTTTGCAGTCTAACACCAATACTTGGCATGTATTTTTTTTGTCAATTATAAATGTAAAATGTTCCTGTGTGTTTAAGTAAGGAATTGGCAGGTATACAACTAATACAATAAAAGGCCGGTTAGTGTATTTTTTTTTTTATTTTTTTTTGTAGTTGGAAAAGTAAGTTGGTTGTCACATTTTTTGTTACAATCAGTAGTTGAAAATAAAATGTTTCAATACTATATGTTGCTTGAATTCTGTGTTCAAAACGTAACATGTGTACTGAAAAGTAGGCCGACATTGAATTTTGATGAAATTCAGATTCTGCAAATGGCAACTCTTACAAGAGTCCCCAAATACATATGCTAAATGTGGAAATAGTGCCCCTTTTTGAAATAAAAAGTGTTTGGGCGAGTTACTGTGCGTATTTGAAGACGAGTGGAGCAAAGTGTTGTGGGGTGGTAGTGGTGGTGGTTAAATAAAATTAGGTACATATATTGGGAGGTTTATTTTATAGAAAGGGATTTCGAGTGGGCAGAGATATGCTCTCTACTGAGTGTTC